ACGAAAGTAAGCTTTTATTTTTAAGCCAGGGTCTCTGTTGCCCAGGCTGGAGTGCAGGACCACGGCTCACCACAGCTTCAGCCTCCTGAGCTCAGGCGATCCTCCCACCTCAGCCTCCAGAGTAGCTGGGATTCCAAGTGCATGCCACCAGGCCCAGCTAATTTTTTGACTTGTTGTAGAGACGGGGTCTCACTATGTTTCCCGGCTGGTCTTGAACTCCTACAATCTTCCCACCTTGGCCTCCAAAAGTGCTGGGATTACAAGGGTGAGCCACCAACCCTTTCAAGGTAGGTAAGTCTTGAGGGAAGAAAAAAGTATTCTTGGTATATTCTTTCTAAAACAAAGTACAAAAATCAGATCAAGACCCTATTTGCTGTACTGACTCAGCCCCAGGCACCACACTCCATCTTCCTTAATTCCCCGATTACTGGGGGAAGAGAGGGGGTGTCACCCTCACTTTACAGAGGAAGAAACAAAAGCTCCGAGAGGTGCATGAACTCGTCCCAAGTCCCACGGCTAGCAGAGGACCGGGCACAGTTAAATCAGGCTCCCTGAGTCCCAAGTCCAGCTCTGCCACCAAGGAGCACACTCCACATCAGTCCCAGTCTGAAATTCTCTGGGCGCTCTGCAGCTCGTGGAGAGGTATCTACTTGAAGCCTAGGGAAGACAGGCATGTCCCGGGACATAGGTGCCCTGCTGGTTCCTTGGCCATGAGGACCCCTGCCATGCACCAAGCCTTCGGCTCCCTCCCCAAATTTTAAAGCCCATGGACACAGAACATGTGGAACAGGGACTCGCTCAAGGGCCAAAGGACTACAGCTCACTGAGGAAGCCACAGGCGCCTGATAACACAGGGCTGGGAGAGGCCAGGCAGCGGGCGCCCCCACAGGCGCTGCTCTCCTGACCCTGGCCAGCACTCATGTTCTGGGACAGCCTACATGGTGGGTATTGCAGGCTTTCCACACCACCCTGGCCTCATGGAATGAAAGCGGCTATACAGTGCATAAGCAAGCGGCACCTGAGTTCCTAGAACACTTTACCCGCAAAAACTGGCACAGGGACCAGAGTTTTGTGACCCCTGCTTGTGGGCCAAGAGATGAGGGTGCCCTGGCAGAAGAGGAAGCACTCTGCAGCTGATAGCCATTTCCTCCAGTCACTCCCAGATGCCTGAGGGTCAGAACGCCTGCTGTATGTTGGCCCTGAAATCAACTGTCTAAGAAAGGTTCCATCTCTCCCGAAACGCAAGTCCTTTTCTCAGAAACCTATGGCATGGGCTCATGGCCTGGCTCAGGTCTGAGGGGCCTGCAAATGAGGTGCCTTGTAAGGCAGTGACCACAGCCTCTACAAGGACAAGCACCTGCTGCAATGGGGCAGGGGAGGAGAGCTCTCCGCAAAAGCAAGGACCACCTGTTCAGGTTCTAACAACCCGGGACTCGTGGTTGGGGCAAAGAACATGCTGAGAGCCACATTCTCAGCTGCAGCATGAGATGAAACACACCAGCATCTCAGACACCCACTCACGGCCTCATGACCAAGCCCGCACAATGCTCACCAGGGCCAGTTGAACCCAAACTAACCCCCACCTCTCCTGCCAAGTAGCTTCAAAGATGCGCCTCCTCCCCACACCCTCACTCAGCCCTGTCTGTAAAATCCCTTTCATATCTTTCCAACCCTAAAGTCTTGCCAACACTAAGGGCCCTATTGTCAGAAACACTAGTTTGCCCCACTACCACAGACCCACCTGATGTCATGCATCTGGTATCCTGAAGCTAGGACAATGGCCCTGTTCAAGGGGCAAAAGTTCACATTCAACCAGCAGTCTTCTCAAGTCCAGCTCAGCCACAGAGCCTGAAGCCTCCTCAACCTGAGGGCTTTCCAACTTGTAAAGCCATATTATTTCCTGTTTCTCTTTAACTCCTGAAGTACCTCCACACTAAAGCGGGGGCTGGTTCAGCTAGAAACAAATTCTTTGTTTTTCATAAATTTACCTTTGGGCCAGGTACCATGGAATACTGAGGCATAACCAAAATGAACCAAGTGGGGAAGGTGTATTCTACCCGGCCTGCCCCTAGGGACAATGTGGAAGAGAAAAATGACACAGAGCAGCAGATGAGCAGATGCTGAAATGCACAACACAGCCACAGTCCCGCTGGAGGAAGTCCCACGAGGAAGTGAGAATTCACACCCAGGCTGTCTAGAAAGAGAACTTGAAAGAAGCAGACGACCCTGAGTCCACCGTGAGACAAAAGGGGAAGGGCTTGGGGGCATGCAGCATGCAGGAAGGGGGTCTCCAGAGGAAGGGAGGCAATCACAGCCCAGCAGTTTAGATGTGGGGTTGGGAGGGCAGTTAAGTCAGGCCCTGGATGTGCATGGAATTCCCCACGCCCTAAACGCCCATCTATCAAGAGCTTCTCTCCCCACCAAACAGTCTGCTTCAGCAGTGTGCTCTCAGCCCACAGGCTCCAGAAAGGTCCTGTGGTTTCGTGGGAACTCCTTCCCCTTAAATGTCCCCACCAAACTCCTCTCCAGAGCCCCACATTTGGCAAGCCCAGGTGCTCAATAGCACGAGTCAAATGCTGGGCAGGGGCACCCTACCAGGTCCATGCTTAAGTTCAACTCTAGGAATATCTGCCACGTATCCTTTCGTTAACCTAAACTGAGGTCAGGGCTTGGAGATCTTTACAGTGAATCAACATCCTGTTTGTCTTCCGCAAAGTAATTAACCGCCTCCTATTATAGACACCTCCTTCTCAGATTCCCCTCATTCAGGATTTAATTATCTAGGAGACTCTCCAGGGACATTCTTTCATCAGAACCACAGGGGAAAAAAAGATGGAGCAATTTATACATGTTCTCATTTGAAGTAAAACACTTTAGTAACATGACTAATATGAAGTATTACTCTTTATGGCAAATTTTCTGTGACTAAAACTAAACTTATTTACTATGAAATAATTTATGAGACAGAGACTGTATCTCTGTATTACCTTCATGTTCTAAACTTGGGTTTTACAAGTTTAGAACATGTGTAAACCCAAATGTGGGTTACAAGACGATGAAAAAAACAACTACAATATAGATATATTTTGACAGATTAATATTACCTGAAGGATTCCTACAATAAAGCATGTTTTTTAAAGTCTTTTTTTTTTCCCTTGAGTTGGAGTCTCACTCCTTCGCCCAGGCTGGACCTGTTGGGCTCTGGCGATCCTTTTACCTCAGCCTTCCGAGTAGCCGGAACTACAGATGTGCACTACCACGCCTGGCTATTTTTTAATTTTATTGTAGAGACAAGGTCTCGCCAAGTTGCCCAGGCTGGTCTCGGACCCGCGGGCTCACGCAATCCACTTGCCTTGGCCTCCCAGAGTGCTGGAATCACAGGCTGAGCCACCGAGCCCAGCCTAAAGTAGTCTTAAGAGACAGTAAAAGAACAGATGAATCGCCCTAACTGTGCTAAAGTTAGGTTCTCAATCAATTGTTCCAGTGCTGAATATATAGCTATTGCCTCAAAATAACCCAACAGCTAACGGACAACAGCGATTTAAAATGAGTTGATATACAAAACAGGGATGCTTGAATAAAAAGGCAAGTAAGTGACCAGTAAGATGCACTGTTTAAAAAGAAAAGCCAAACAGTAAAACACACACCCATACTATAAAAGGAAAATCACAGCTAACAAAAGCCTATTTCTATCCTGGAGATGGTTGTCATTTTCTGGGAGGTTAATTCCCTAGGAGTAGAGAGCTTGGTCAAATGAACCAGGGAAACAGCTGGGGGCTGCAGAGAGAGGCAAGGAGAGGCTGCAGGGGAGAGGCAAGAGGGCTGGCATCGCAAACCCTGATTTCTACCCATAATGGTTGGTTTTGCAGTTACTCAAGAGTTCTCATTTCCTGATCATAAGGGAATACCATGCTGAAAATGGTCTCTGTAAGCCATCTCCAACTTGAAGAAGGATCTCAATCCTTTTGGGAAGCCTCATGCACTGCAAATGTAGGGCTGGCAAGACACAAATCCAAGTGCAATCGTGGAGGCTCAAATGAAAGACCCAGCAAAGTTAGTATAAGGCATACAGTGCCTCAATAAATAAATAAATAAATAATTCCAACAGACCTTTTTCTGAATTTCATTCCCGTCCAACTCCCAAGATACTCTTCCTTGGCCCCACAACTCTCACAAAATAAAGATAATACTCAGAACAGTTTCTATTAACAATGTGCACAACAGTACAAGCTTTTAATAATAAAAACCAAAACCAAACAAAACAAAAAAAAGCTGCAGACTAACCTGGACATTCCTATTCTTTGGCCAGGACAATGGGAAAACTAAGTTAACTAGAAAGCAGATTGAAAAACATTCCCTACCTGGCCCCTCCTTGACATCGCTAAGCCACTCCTTAAAATGAGCAATATTCCCTTCGAAAAATCGTATTAAGGACGGCACCTTCTGAGAGCTGCTGAGTGGGTGAGTGTTGTGGATGGAAAGGATGGAGCGCCAACTCTCTAAATGCAAGTCACTGGGAAAGGAGGGCCGCCCGTGTCAACCCCCACACCAGCGTTAATTCAAACGTCCAGAATGTGAAAGGATAGACGAACGCAAGGGTTCTGTTTCCAGCGCCAGCAACTGGGACGCAGAAGTTGCTCACATACCCTAGGCAAAAGAATCTCGTGAGAAAAAGAAAGTAGAGCCACAGCAAAGTGCGGAGTCTGGGAAATCTCCTCCTCCACCAAAGAGCAGAAAGAGAGAGAGAGACAGCCTCCCCAAAGTGAGGCGACTGGGTATCCTCGAGGGCGGTGGAACCTGGGCGCCATCCTCTCCTCCCTGGACCAGGACAGGGGGTTCGGGGGTCCCTGGGATCGAGCCGGCGACGAGGGAGCGCAGGGCTCGGAGCCCGGGGAGAGTCGCCCGCTCCCGCCGGGATCTCCTTCGGGTGGAGCTGAGTTGTGCAGCGGGCCACAGGACAGGGCAGCCTGGACCCTACGGCCGGCCCGCGCGGCCCTCACCTTGTCCGAGTCCAGATCGGGGTCGGCCTGGCACAAGCGGTACAGGAAAGATTTCGGGTCCCGGCACAGCGTCTGCCGGGTGGTGAGGAAGTAGGTGCCGCCGACGTTGAGCCGGACCCACTTGGACACGCTGCCGGGGCGCTGGGCCAGAGCACCGAGACCCACGCTACAGCGGCGGCACAGGCCACCTCCCAGCCCCGCCCCGAGGCCGCCTGGGGCCGGCGGCAGTAGCTCGCAGTGGTTCTCCGCCATGATCCCAGCAAGCCCCGCCACAGCTCCCCCCGCCACCGGAAGCGTCCGGTTTTTAATATCGTCCTCCTAGCTCCATCCCGCCCACAAGTCCTCCCTCCTAAAGCGCCCGCCCCGGCGTCACTCGAGAGGCGGAAGTTCCGGTCCGGAAAAGCGGCCGGCCGTGCCCCCTTCCGGCTGGCCGGGCCGCTGCGTGGTCCCGGCCGCCGCCGTAGGCCGGCAGTCGCGGGGTCCGCCTCAGGCTCGGGGGCCTACGCCTACACGAGCGATGCGCGCACGCCCGGCCCCGCCCCCCAAGTGCCCCGATGGTTTTCAAAAGAAGAGCCACGCCAGCGAAGTCTACACTCTACATGCTTTTATTACAAGACTACCGAGCATACGAGGAAAATTCATCATCCGATAACTACACCTAAAGCACAAATATTTGAAAAAAAGATAATAAACAGATTCATTAAATTATGATATGATTAAATCATTGACCAAATAGAAAATTTATATAATAAAGCCAGAAAAAAAGTTGTAAAATATAGTTTACAATAATTATTCACATTCAAGGCTGTACATCAATACATACAACAACGTGGCCCCGAACATGAATTCAATCCAAATAATTCATATATTAGAATTTAAATAACACAGACTGAACTAGAGGCCAACAGTAGTCAGCAAATAACCTTATGTAAGAATAAAAATACAAAAGTGTATATCCTAGTATCATTGCATTATTTTTCATAAGTTTTCTATTTTTTGCTTTGCCTGTACATCACAGTTACAGCTACAGACCAGGTAGAGAATATTACACATGTTCTGACTGCCACCCACCTGAAGACAGCTAACATACTATTGATTCTTCCTAGTTTATGCTGTTAAGAACAGCTACAGTAGCACTAAATACTGTAACAATTTAATTTTTCCATTGTCCAAACTTACAGTCATAATAGAGGCTATCACCAATATCACCCCTGTTCGTAGCCATTCAGCCAGACTACTAGACTAGGGTGGGTTACACAGCTAATGGAAAGTTTGCCTTTTGTAAAAAATTATCTGTATGTAGCTTGGTGTTTCTTTCTATTGAAAAAAGGAGTTACAGAGAAAATTCAGGTATACACACAGGTTTGTTCAGTTGCCTACCAAAGCCACCTCAGTGACAGATAAAACTGATCTTTGCTGGAAAAATCTTCCTCCCCAGACTGGGTCTCCACAGGCAGCCTAATTTACAACTCTGCAATCTTGGGCCAGAAGCAGTGCCCCTCAGAGCCTCTGAACTGTCCCAGTGCTGACTTGGGTACTTGCTATGTGGGTTGCCTAAGAAGGGGCCACACGACCCACTGAGTCACCATTGGTTCCTGTCAGGTTTGAAAATAAACCAAATAGGGAAATGTGTATGGTGACATCTCCCAGAACATCGTACCTTCGCCATATTCTCACCTCTGAAGTCAGCAGTGAGCACCCTGGGTCTGTGGACCAGCAATGGGAATGGCCTTGGGACTTCAGAGGAGGACAAGAAACCTCATTCTGCACAACTCAGCCGTAATCTCTGGTAAAGTAGCACTGAGTATAGTGCCTAGAAAAGAATCTTCTGCGTGTCTGCCCTCAGAATCAATGAACCCTGACTAAAGTGGAAAAATTAAGAACGCAACCAAATTTGGATGGTCTGGACTTGAAGACACTAGGCAAGGTGCAACACTGTGGGCAGGAAGTGGGGAGAAGGCCTTAAATCCACACCAGCCGGGAGAAGCACATCCTACAGTAGAGAAGCCCACCCCCTGTGTTCTTCTGACTGGCTAAGACCGTCTGACAGGGAGGGGGCCAGGAGGGCAAATGCACTCTTGCAAAACCCAATCACCTACGTGGTTTCTTTTTCAGGTACAGCCTCTGCACTTTCTAAGTCTATAAACTTGATTACAAATCACCCACCAAGCATGTGGCAAGGTCAGTTCAACACTTTTTATCTCTGCTGACTGTGCAGATGCAAATTCAGTACCATTGTGGACACAAAGTACAAGGTTCGGAAAAATATCACCAAGCACTTAAAGCCATAGCAGCAGGGATGGAAGAGAACATGCAGGCGTAACCAGATTCTCTTGCAATGAAAACAAGGAAACTGGCTCATGGGAAAATCTGTCACAAACGGATTGGAGTAATGACATCATTTTTGTATTTTTTTAAAAGTGATCTTATTCAAACATTATTTGGAACACACAACTTATCAGAAACTGATTTGTCCAGACTCTGTAGGACAAGAGGCTGTTACTGGAGCTCTGAGCATCCAAGCATCAGATCAAGAGAAAGGAAGAAAAAGTAACACCTTTAAAATAAACATACTTGGCTGGGCTCGGTGGCTCAGCCTGTAATCCCAGCACTTTGGGAGGCCAAGGTGAGTGGATTGCCTGAGCCTACAGGTTCGAGACTAGCCCAGGCTACTTGGCAAGACCTCGTCTCTGCAAAAAATAGAAAATTAGGTGGGCGTGGTAGCGTGCGCCTGTAGTTCCTGCTGCTTGGAAGGCTGAGATGGAAAGATTGCCGGAGCCCAGCAGGTTGATGCTAGGGTGGCCATGAGCATGCCACTGCACTCCAGCCTGGACAACGGAGTGAGACTCCAACTCAAAACAATAAAAATAAAATAAAATAAACATACTCTTTGACCTCAAAATACCACTTCTAGGTATCTAAGGGAGAAAAAAATCAGAGTCAAAAATCAAAGATCTATAAAGATATTCACCACAGCATTATTTAAATAGTGAAAAACCAGAAACCATCAAAATGTTTTACAGTAGGGAAGTGGTCAGATAAATTATGATAAAATTTACAACTATTACACTCTAAAATAGTTAAAAACATGTTTTTGAAGAATTGCTCATGGGAAAATGCTTAAGATAAAATACCAAGTGAAAAAAGCTGGATGCAAAACGGTGTACCCTGTATGTTCCCTAGTGTAGTTAATAGAGCAAATAAATGGGAGGGGGCAGGATACAGACCAAAATGCTTGTGATGGGCCTCTCTGGGTGGTGAGTCTACAGTTGATTTTTTCAAAAAAAAAAATGTTTTTAGAAAGTACGTTCTAAGAAAACATGTTTTAAGAAAGTATGGAATCACCCAGAGCCCCTGCGCTGGCATCTGGGGGGCCTGCGCCATGGGGCTGTCTCAACAATTCCTCTGGGCAAGGGCCACAAATACCAGTGTCCCAAGGGGACTGGAGTAGAACAAGTTCCCGTCAGCTGTGGCATGACATGAGTCACCTTTCTCAAAGCAAATTGTTAACTGGCCTCCAGCAAGCTAAGGTTCCGAACAGCAGCTGTGTCATGGTGCCATCCACCAGCATGGAGGCTTAGTGCTCTACACTGGGACCACCACTGCCTGCTGGAGCCACAGAAAAAAAGGAGACAACAGTCCATCCAAACCCAGCTCTTTGTTCCCAGAAAAAGTCGAGGCACCACAGACTTCCTGAGCCAACAGTGACTTCTTGCTCTCAGTGCTAAGATGCCACAGGTGGTGTGGTCTGAGCATTTACGCTTGTCTTTGCCCACTTGTAGTAAGACACAGGGCTCCTGGATCTGTTAAGCCACTTGGTACTTTTTCATACCTTGGACAAACCCACAATTATAATTCCATGTCAGTATGCATATGTAGACTGTCACCCATGTCTCATCTCAGAATGTAAGGCACCTGCATGCCAGGTGATGGCTCTAAGGATGTGTTTGATAAAACTAAAGTTGATATGAGTAAGTACAGGGGAAGAAAATATGCATGGATCTTTAAAAAAGAAGGGGAAAAGGGGACTCAGTGAGGAGAAAAGTGACCCACAAGAAGGGCTCAGGCAAAGGCAGTCACTTCTGCTGTGGGCTGTGAGCTCCAGCTCTAACCCCTAATTCTGTGGTTGCAGAGGTTAAGATGGAGCTTGGCCAGTGAAGCCCAGGAGGTAGTGGCGCAGCCAGAGGAAGCACGCAGCATAAATCTCCCCAAGCCAGAGTTTCCACTAAAGTCTCAGCTCTGCTGTTTCCCCGTAACCAGATGCCCAGGAAAGACATCTTTCCTGCATCTGTGTGCAGTTAGGAGTGACAGGAAGTCACTCTCATACACACAGACACAGGACATTCTGAGAGGGGTAAAAGAGCTGGTACGGGGGGAGTAAGCCTGAACAGAAATTCCTGAAAGAAATGTATAAGCGAGATCCTTAATACAGGCAAGAATTTTCAAAAGCCAGGAGAGAGAGGGCTTGGCCTCCAGCCACAGGCCCAGGGGCATGAGCTGGGTCCAAGGTGCCCTGCTCCCTGGGGTGCTCCAAGGATAGGTGCAGCCTGACACACACACACATGCACTGTGTAGTGGCCAAGGCCCAGGCAGAAACAGCTGGCAAAGCCCAAGGACACCTCTGCTCCTGCCTAACCCCTCAATGCCCAGTGTGATGGACGTCCACTTCTGTACTTTCCCAGTTTAAGAGACACTGTTATTAACAGTTTAGGAAACCTTCCCTCTCAATGTGGACCTGGCCTGGCACACAGGGTGGCTGAGGGGTCATGTGAGATGGGGTTAGGGCATCTTTTCTGTGTGGGCCTCTTGCGGTGCCTTTGTGGACATCTACAGAAATGGCAAGGCTGATCATCCTGGGACACACTCGTGTCAGAGGCATGTCTCTGAGCAGCATGGAAGGGCAGCAGCACCTGCCTCTCCCCATGGTACTGGGAGCTGCCCTCCAGAGATAGCCTGGGCAGAGAGAGGAAGACCTTGGTCCTGCCAGGCTGTCAGGAGCTCTCTCTGCCTGGGGAGGAGTGAAGCAAAAGAAAATGCATTTGGACTGTGTCACACAGCAGGGCACTGCCACCAAGGCATCAAAGGGACACAGCCCTGCAGCTGCCAAAGGAAACCAGACCAGGCATGCTTAGGTCTAAGGGCTGCTCTCGCCTCCTGTGCAATGGTAACAGACAAAGTCTGCTCTTTATGGGGTCAGATGACCTGGCAACATGAGAAGACTTTCAGATTTTCAGTGTGGAGATGCCAAAAGTTCTAAGTTAGCTCTGAGAAATGTTTAACCATAACACAGAAAGAGTGCATGTGACACTGGTGCTGCGTGCCCTGGTGCTGTCTGCAGACCGAAGCACTCTGGATCTGCCAAAAGCAGGATTCTCTCTCTGACCTGACTTCACCATCAGGAAGGTCTGCCCATCAAGCCTTTCAAGAGGCTCCCAGGAAGGGTCTGGAGCCTCATTCCTCCACAAGAGCTGGTGGCCCTATGATCTGGCTGAGCTCTTTGAGGTACCTCTGGCCTTACCCAGGGCTCAGGGAAGGAGTCTCTCTTATATGCAAGGACCCAGCTGGTTGTAATTGGGCTCACTTCTGACCATGCCCCTCCTAGGCCTGAGCTCAGCTTCTAGCCCCAGAGGCTGACACTGCTCAGTGGGACAGCGCCCTCCACTTGGCAGCCTGCTACCGCATCACTCGACACCTTTCTACTCCTTACCACAGAGTCTACAAGTGAGTAGCAGGGGCCACAGAAATCCTGCCACCAGAGTTATGCCAGGAGGCACGTGATGGGCCTGGCCACAACTAGGGGACATAAACAAGGGATGCACAAAAGGAAGCACATGCACAAAAGCACAGAATCTTCCCACCTAGAGAGAGCAGCACCCCAGCAGAGGTGTGCAGGAGCCCCATCTCTGGTGAAGAGTGCAGGGGATGGGGGGGTGCAGGAAGAGTCAAGGACATTGGGGCCCCTCAGCCACCAGCACATGGGCAGGAAGGGGAGGGTGCATGGTTCTGACTGATGCTAAGAGAAGCTGGTGACACCAGGTCTGTCCACTAGTCTGGGCAGGAACTGAGCTGACGTGCATGGAGCTGGGTCCCCACAGCAACGAGCGCATGTGGATGCTTCCACAGAGCATAGAGAGCAAGCAAAGCGACCCTGAATTCCTTTTTGTTTGTTATTGGTTTTGTACTTTGTGTGGTTGGGTATTTTTTTTTCTTCTTTTCTTTTAAATAAAAAAGCTGCAAGGTTTCCGCCTTCTGCATTCCCTTGAGATGGCTGGCAGGTGGTCTGGAAGCGTCCCGGATGGCGGCCGAGCCGCGCTGGGGCAGGTGTCCTGGCAGCAAAGGGCAGCCCGGCCGCAGGCCATGTCACTGCACAGCAGCGTCCAGGTGGCTCTGGTATCGCTGCCTCCAAACCTCCTGGATCTTCCTGCACCACTTGTGGGCATTTCCGCTGGGATCCATCAGGTAATATGTCCTGTTAGGCTACAAAAACAGAGGCCACTAAGTGTTCTCAAGACAGTCCCACCAAGACCCCCGCCCAAACCTGTGAGGAGCCTGCTACCAGCCACTGCAAGTACCTTCTAGAAACATACAGTCATGGCGGGTCTCTTCATCTACATGTGCAGAAATTAAATATGCAGGCAAATGACTGGTACCCCCTTAGGTAATCTCCAAAGTCAAAACAAGCAGAGGGTGTTTCCTGGCCCCACTCAGGACTGAGCTGTTAATGTGGGGCCTCTGGGACGTGGGAAAGGGTGAGACAATGCCGGACCCAGCTGCTCCTCTAGCCAAAGTACCTGGATGCCTCCCAGCAGAGGTGCAAAGGCTCTACCCCACCCTGCAACAGGAATCTCTAGGAACAGACTCACTGTGTGGACAAAGAATGTTTTAAAATTCTTGGCCTCCGGTCGGAGTTCCTGTGACCACGGAATTTCACCCTTCAGGACTTTGTTGACAGGATCCACATAATATAAATGTGGCCCTTCTGTGAGTAATAACTGTCGTCGTCGTGCAAATAAACCCTGATTAAAAAAACAACAACAACAACTGCTCAGCGATCAGTGCCAACAACATTTACCACTGCCTCAGGGGCTGGGCCACTCAGTGCACAGAGGCGACCATCAGCCACCTGTCCACTCATCCAGAACGCTGCCTCCCTGCCTGAGCCCAGCTTCTCAGGCCAGGACACTGCAGCACAGGTCGCTGCTGCCAAGCCAACACGGTCTTGGTGACAGTAAGGCCCACTGAGTCCTGGCCCCTGTCATCAAGCTAACATAGTCCCAGCAATGGTCAGGTCCACTGCACCCTGGCCCCTGCTGCAGTGCAGCCATGCCCCAGTCCTTTCTTGCTCACGAAGGGTGCATGGCCAGGAATGGAGGTCAGGAGCCCATGCTTGGATGGGGCCCACATCAGCAGATGGTGCCTGATATGTTCTGACACAATCCATTTAATCCATAGAGCATAATAAATAACCCTGAAGTGTTCTGAAAACATTTCTAATGAAACATTAGACTACTTGCTAGGATATCAGACACAGCCTTCTCAGCTTGACAGAAACTTGAACCCAGGCTCCTGACAGCTGTGTGAGGCTATGTTTCTGCTCTGACACTCACTGTCTACTTGTGTGGTCCCAAACCGCTTCCCCTGGATGGCTTAAATCTTCCTAAGCTATTCAACCTAGAGATGATCTCTAAACATTGACCCAGGACCAAGCATGCTACGGACAACATCATGGCAAAAGCCAGAGGAAGGACCTGACCAGAGCTGGAACCAGGAGGAAAAAGCAGATTTGCATGAAAAGCAGTAGGAATCCCACTCACCTTTCGCTTATCCACTGGACCCATTTTTAGTATTAAATTATTTTCTACAAACTGGTGCCTACAAAAAGAAGAAAAAAGAATGAGACACTTCCATGCGCGTTACATGCAGACATTCTCCAACTTCCTGTGGCCTCTGCCTGCCCCTCACAGATCCAGCCTCGCTCTAGCACAGGAAAAAATTCCAGGTGCAACCTAGCACACATACCCACTGCCACATAGAGCCCTTCATCTGTATTTGGCCAAGGCCTACAGATGCCAGAAACATCACCTGCTATCACCTCTCAGTCGGTAGCATCTACACAACAGGAGTTAAGACGGAGGGAGGGTAGTGCCATAGAACTGGGCTGGTGACATACGTCATTGTCACATGAACAAAGTTGTGTTGAAAACTGCAGAAACCCCTGAAAGGTGGATGCCACCAAGAGTCGAATTTAGGACAAGACCATCGACTTTAAGTTAATCCGCCAAGCAGGAACTCCCAATTCTGTGTTCAGGATCCACTGAGTAGTCTAGAATCACAAAGCCCTGGAAAACCTGAACTGGACTTGACTTAAAAACAACATCATCGTTGAGGAATTTGGGCTGCAGCGAGATGTGTGCTTGTACCACTACACTCCAGCCTGGGCAGCAGAGCTGGATTTTTAAAACAAAACAAAACAAAAAACAGGCGAGGCAAACAAAATACAGGCTCAAGCCAGTAATCCCAGCATTTTGGGAGGCTGAGGAGAGAGGATTGCCTCAGCTCAGGGATTTGAGACCAGCCTGGGCAACTTGGTGAGACCTCGTCCCTACAAAAATAATAATAATAAGCCAGGCATGGTAAGTAGCACGTGCCTCCAGTGAGGCCGTGTTGTCCTTAAGGAAGGTGAGGACTAACACTTCTGGAAGACGTCTTAGGTAAAAAACACTGGGGTAGTCAGTTCAGGAAAAACCAGAACCCAGTGTAGTTCCAACTACTTGGAAGATTGAGGCAGAAGGAACACCTGAGCCCAGCAGGTCGAGGCTGCGGTGGCCCTAAGTATGCCACTGCACTGCAGCCTGGGCAACAGAATGAAACTCCAACTCCAAAACCCCCCCCAAAAAACAACAACAACAAAAAACTCCAAACATGTTAATCGGTATTTCTACCATAGTAATAAAATATTTTTATTTAAAGATGACAGGAATTTGGGAGAGAAAGTTTCAAATACAGGCTCTGATTTAATATACAGTATTAGCAAGTATATCTCACTTTGACTCCCAAGAGTTTAAGAGGTTATTTTAATGGCTACTGTTTACCTCATTTGGTTAAAGCTAACAATTACTGTTATGTTCCATCTGATTTTACTCAAATTCCCAATCTGAGGTTCTACTATAGAAAGAATATGTTCTACATTAGAAAAAGGCATAAGACAATCAAGCAAATGAACATAGCCACACACCTGCCCGGCTCCCCACAGGGTCAAGAGCACTTCAAGAAGACTGGCCGAGCTAGGGGCACAGTGTTCTCCCACCAGGCTCACCGGCCTCAAGGTCTGGCCTAGCCCAGTCTGAGCAGATCAGTGCCTGGCTCACCACAGGAGGGACTGTGAGGGTGGGGCCTCAAGCACACAAAATGACACAGTGTCCTGTGCATTTGAGAGCAACTGAGACTGTGTGTAACCTTTGAAGGGAGTGCAGTCCTCTCTTGGAGGGATTTCACAATCAAGCATGCACACATGCACACACACAGAGCTTGAAACAGAGAAAAAAAAAATCAAGGCGATTTTTGCAAAGGAGAGGTAATAGGGGGATCTATTGCAGCACAGAAAGTACAATGCAAAAAACAAAAACATAAAAGGCCGGATGTGGTGTCTCATGCCTGTAATCCCAGCACTTTGGGAGGCGGAGGGGAGAGGACTGCCTGAGTCCATAGGTTCGAGACCAGCCTGGGCAACACGATGAGACCTCATCTCTACAATAAATCAAAAAAATTATCCAAGTGTGGTGGCGGGCACCTGTAGTTCCAGCTACTTGGAAGGCTGAGGTAGAAGGATCACCTGAGCCCAGCAGGTCAAGGCTGCGGTAGCTGTGAGCATGCCACTGCACTCCAGCCTGGGCAAGAGTGAGACTCCAACTCAACAACAACAAAAAAAAGTAGATGAACCATGGAGCCCAATAGAAAGGCCACTCCAGTTGTTGATAATTGACATTCTGACTGGAGTTAGGTGGTATCTCAGTGTGGTTTTGATTTGCATCTCCCTGATGATTAATGAGGTTGAGCATTTCTTCATGTGTCTGTTGGCTGG